TCTAATACAGTCAATCATTGAATCTATCTATCATTGGTACTTTGCGTGGGAAACGTGGGTCAATAATTTCTGGCAGAACACAACATTTGAAGTAAAACTGCGTCAGTTTCATTATTTTATCATCTGACCAAAAGGTTGGATCTTTGTATATATTTTTATATAAGAATACCTTTTGGCGACCCAACAACAAAGTAACAAAAACTCTTCTTTGCAATTTTTAGTTGGGCTTGGACCTGGTAATAGTTATTATGGTTTCTTTTCAGTTTGATCAAACTACCTCCATCTTCTGTACAGAAGACAATTTTTTTACTTTTTTTTATAGCTTCTAATGGCGTCAACGTAGAAGCCGAAGATGGACATTTTATTTCGACAATTCCGTCGTCTCCAATCAAACCATCTGGACTTGCACCAAGGAAACAGTATTCATCATCAACAAATAACCCACAAGGAGTGATAAGCATATTGAGCTCATTTGCAAACTCTTTGAGAGCTGTTATTTCATTTGACTTTCCATATCTTGTGGAATAATTTCCATTAAATGTCGAATATAGCATTGTTTTGATTATGGAGGTGCATGGGGTCGTAGGCTTCATTTTACAAATTTGACCAATCATTGAAGCAGTTATTCTTTTTCTGCGTTCCACAATCCATGTATCGGAGTTAGATTGGTCAACAGTATCTCTTTCTAAGGACAATATTACCGAAGGTGTCTATTGAGTGACTCAGTGAATTCACTTTTTTTTGTTATGAAAACGTCTATCGGCAAATCAGGCTCACTTGTTACGTTGCCGTAATGCTGGTCTGCCGGCTTTGATCGCTTTGCTCGCTTTAACCCCCGTAGTGCATCTTCAGCTCTCCGTTTTCTTTTATTTTTAATTCTTTTTGTTTTTTTTTTTTGTCAGATATTTTTGCGTATATGTATTTTTAATGTTGTCGTCACTGCTGCGTAGCATCTTTTTTCATAAGTTCCTCGAAGGGAAAAGTTTACTCGCTTCCCAGCAAGGAACTTTGCTATGATTGAGTTAAAATGTTCTGCTGGGTTATTTGTTTCTTTTAGAACGAGACTTTCTGCATTCTGTGTTAGCCATCCCAGATTCTCATAAATGTCAGCCCATATCCCACACTTTTCAGTTGAGGGACCAACTTCATCTCCACTATATTTTCATTTTTGCAAAAATAATTCTTGCACGAATTATGAAAACCAAAAAAGTGACATGGACCGTTCAGTAGATCCTCTTTTAAGCTCTTTATTTTCCCTTCTAATGGTAAGTCCAGCTTTGCAGAGTGTTCTACAGCTCAGGCCTGCTTTATGAAGGCGTCGAATACGGTCAATCAGTGCTTTGCGTAATGTGACATGTACTGGTCCGTTCCTATCTTTGGTCTTTTTTACAATTTTCCTCAATTTATTTGTGTAATTCCTCATCAAATGATTGGAGCATTCTATTTTTTTTATATAGATATTTGGTCCATAAGGCATTGTATCTCTCAAAGCATTACACACGCTGCTATCACCATCGCCAATCAATTTAGAATACTTTAGTCCATGCATACTAACACTAATTTTGAATCCCTCTACGACCGCATTAGTTTCCATTTCAGTTGAAGGGCCAAATCAATTTTATACCATTTGTGAGCAAGAACTTCAGTTTTCCGCTTTGCAGCTACAGCACAAATGCAAAAATATGAGTTCCGATCCCAATGAATAATATTTTCTTAGTTCTAAAACCTATGATGCAACCAACTCCCAACAAGGAATTGAAATTTGTCGCGTAACTTCGTTTACTCCATGACCCGTCTGTTATTACGGTTATATATGGTATTGTTACGCGCTCCAGTCAACGATACACTAGCGCCATCTAGTGTCAGGAACGAGAGCGAGGGGAGCATTGAGAAAATGACATCACAAATCGCTCAACTGACAGCGCCTAGTCGAAACTCGAACGCTCGGTACCTTCCGCGTGTTTACTTGAACATTCTGGATATTTCTTTGCTAATTTAAATATATAGGCGCTGCAAGATGCGATGGAGGCAGTGTTGATTTGGGCGAAACAAGCGAAGCTTCGGAGTGGAATTAAGTAAATTAGTGTGTTTAAATTATTAGTGTTTTAACTTTAATTGTGTAAAGTAAATTAAAGTGTTAATTTAGGTAATTTTATCGGCAATTTTTATTGTCACGAACCTCAAGCTGGTAACAATTGGTGTCAGAAGTGGGATAAAATCATGCCGATTTTACCTAAGGAGGAAACGGAGGGTGTCCGTACCCGAAGTCAACGCCAGCAGGAGACGGACCAACGAAGATTTGGTGGTGCAACGCCGCAGACGTCGGAGGGCCAGCCACCGGCTGCAGGCCCGTCGGTAGCTCCTACATCTGCAGCACCTGACTTAGGTGCTCTGATGGTGATGCTGCAGGAGCAGGCTCGCCGACAGGAGGAGCAGGCCCGTCAGTTGAAAGAGCAGCTGCAAAGCGGACAAGAGGAACAGGCCCGCCGGCAGGAGGAACAGGCCCGCTGGCAGGAGGAACAGGCCCGTCGTTTAGAAGAGCAACTCCAACGCGATAAGGAAGAGCAGATGCTCCTCATGAAGGACCTTCACGCTATCTTCGGAAAAGAGATACGGGAGGTGAAGGATAAGGTTGCTCAACATGACAACCGCCTGTCGGAGGCCGAAACCCGAATCGACCAAGTAAACAATCGGGTTGACAACGTAATGGCTGACGTGAAGAAAACGCTGGACGACCTCAAACTTGGGGATGGAACAACAGCTCCCGTAGTAGCTACAACACCTTCGCTACGTGGATTCAAAGTGCCGCCGTTCGACGGTACCTCTTCCTGGTCAGCCTACAAGATCCAGTTCGAGGCTGTTATGAAGGCGAACGGCTGGAATGAAAGTCAGGCCATGACTGCTCTCACACTAGGCCTGCGCGACCAGGCCTTAACAGTTCTGGAAGCTCTCGGTGAGGAAGTGATTTATGAGCAACTCATTGAGGCATTGGAGGCGAGGTATGGCGACGCTCACCTGGAACACGTCTTTCGTGCGCAGCTTAAAGATCGCGTGCAGCGCATCAACGAAAACCTGCAGCGGTGGGCTCTAGAGGTGGAGAAGCTGGTGCGAAAGGCATACCGGTCTGTACCTGCGCTCATTGGAGGGAACCTGGTGCAGACATTCATCGACGGCATCCGTGACCTGGAAGTCAGAGCTGCTGTGAGGCTCGGGCACCATGAGACGCTTAAGGACGCCTTGGCCCATGCACTGGAGGTAGAAGCCGTGCGGCAGGATCATCGTTCCCATCGCGTCAGGGAGGTTGCAGCAGCTACAGTTCGCGACCGCAACAAAGGATACAGCCCTAGGTGCTATGGCTGTGGGGAAAAAGGCCATCTTCGAATCAGCTGCCCTAAGCGAACCGTGGAAAGGAGAGTTGATCGATCTCGAGAGGGTAGTGCAGCTAACGACACTGCCTGGCGGCGACAGGATCATCGTTCACCTCACGCTAGGGAGGTTACAGCAGTTACGGTTCGCGACCACAATAAAAGATACAGCCCTAGGTGGTATGGCTGTGGGGGAAGGGGCCATCTTCGGTCCAGCTACCCTGAGCACACCCTACGAAGGGAAGGTGAACGGTCTCAGAAAGGAAGTGCGGCTAACAGCACCGCCCAGCAGCAGCAGGAATACGACTTTACTATCAGACACTGCAGCGGGAAATCTCACGGCAACGCAGATGCATTGTCAAAAAGACCTTGTCCTGAAGATTGCAACCATTGTAGTAAGCAAGAGAGTAAGGAGGTGGTATCCGTGAGGATGCTCAGGACAGACCACCTCAGCAACGGGTGGAAGGACAACCTACGACATGCACAGCAGGAAGATCCGGACATCAAGCCGATTCTGGGATGGATGAAGGCCCGTGCTACCAAGCCTAAGTGGAGGGACGTCTCAGCGATGAGTTCAACCACGAAAAGCTATTGGGCCCAATGGGACAGCTTGCTGATTCAGGATGGTGTCCTGTGCCGTAAATGGGACAATGGTCGAAGAGACAGCTGTCGTTTGCAAATGGTTGTCCCTAAAGCTAAAGTGCCGAACGTTCTACAGTTGTGCCATAATGGTCGTTCAAGAGTCCATCTGGGAGTTAAACGAACTCTACTGAAGGTCCGAGAACAGTTTTACTGGGTCCATTATCGTGACGATGTCGAGGATTGGTGTCGTACATGTACAAGTTGTGCGGCCGAGCGGGGACCTCGGACACGTAGTAGAGGAGCACCAAAATTGTACAATGTTGGTGCACCACGGGATAGGACAGCCCTTGACATTGCGGAGCCGTTACAGAAAGGCGCAAGAGGGACTCCTAAGATCGTCCATGTGAATCGCTTGGCGCGTTATTATGGGGCCGATAATGCTCGGGACGAGCATGTCTTAGGAGGGGGCAGTGTTACGCGCTCCAGTCAACGATACACTAGCGCCATCTAGTGTCAGGAACGAGAGCGAGGGGAGCATTGAGAAAATGACATCACAAATCGCTCAACTGACAGCGCCTAGTCGAAACTCGAACGCTCGGTACCTTCCGCGTGTTTACTTGAACATTCTGGATATTTCTTTGCTAATTTAAATATATAGGCGCTGCAAGATGCGATGGAGGCAGTGTTGATTTGGGCGAAACAAGCGAAGCTTCGGAGTGGAATTAAGTGAATTAGTGTGTTTAAATTATTAGTGTTTTAACTTTAATTGTGTAAAGTAAATTAAAGTGTTAATTTAGGTAATTTTATCGGCAATTTTTATTGTCACGAACCTCAAGCTCGTAACAGTATTCTGTCTGTATCGATATCACCTTGCTCTTTTTCTTCTTTGCCTGCTTCAAGCATGTGTTGCAGAGCGACATCTCTGTGTATACTACCTAAATTACTACATATTTTGATATAATATATAACGCTCAGACATATTTGGCATATTTAAACATGCACATATTTTGTCCAATTGGGCGTATCCGTTCCCAGTTTGGAAAACGCCTTCTACTACACTAGCAGTCTTTTTGGTTGGTTTCTTGAGAATGTAATATCTTTTCTATCTATCCTTTTTTCTTTCATAAAATTCATAGAGGTAAAATTACAGTCAAATGGATGATGCGACATGGTTGCAAGCTGACTGAAAAGATAACCGATGTCGACTAATCGATTCCCTTCTAATGACGGTGTTTTATTGTCATTTTCTTGTTCTTCTGTAACAATTAGCTCGTTGTCTGATAAAGATGTTGAGCTCAAGTTGGTCGAATAGTTGATTTCTTCTTCAGCCAGTTCTTCACCATTATTTTGTTGAAGATGTTGCCTACAAAAAAAAAAACACAGTTTTAGATCTTCAACATGAACAAAAACCAAATCGGGACATGTCTATTTTTATAAAACAGTAGTGAGGAATTCACTCCCTTAGATAATAATGGTAAACTGCATTAAATATTGTCATTATATTGGTTATATTCCACTATCTCATTCTCATCAAAAACCTTGTTCTGTGCTTCATTTGTTACAGTAACTTCTTGATGTATCCTATCCTAGGTAAACCTAAAATAATAGATAAATCTATTTATTCGTTCTTAACAATACAAATAACTTTGTTTTGTGCATTTTATATATATTATTATTATATCCTACTTTGTTTTCCACCTTACCTAAGCCGTGATACATCATTATTGTCAATGTTTTCTTTGTTCTCATTTATGAGCCTGGAAAATAAAATAAACCTTTATTCCTTTCTATGTTCATTGCCTAAATAATAATTGAATAATAGTTATCTAAATCTAGATTTATAGTATTTTTTTCGCAACTTCAGGTTTGATCCAATACTCATTCACGGTACAAGTAGCTAATCTCGATAACTACAATTACCCCTTTTTTCCCCCGCAATTTTCTATGAAGATATAATATAATACTGTATTTATAATGCGCTCAAACTAAAATAGGTTTATGTAAAAAATATATTAGTACTGCATAGTTGTGTGTGAGAGCAGTGGTGGCCCAGTGGTAACAGCTCGGACTTACAAGTTGTAGGTCTTGAGTTCGAACCCAGCCATGCGCATTACTTTGTGTAATTTATTTCATCACCAATGCTCTCAAAACAATAAAAATTCGAAGACATGTGACATCTACCAATCGGCACTGGGCCCGCGTAGTGTATTTACAGCCTACATAGAGACGGCCTGTGTCCCATCTGTGGGAAAATTATAGGCTGACGATGACTGACTACATACGTAGTTGTTCATGTCATGTGGTTAAAAATTGGTTTGATATTTTTACAGTACAGTTGGCTACCTACTTTAGCTCTTGTATAATTATGTAAAAAATCAACTTACCCATTTTACAAAACGACTTTTTAGTTCTGCTCAATTGTAATCAATAGTAATAAAATCGAGATAAAATCCTTATCTAAACAAACTCGGTGTCCGTATTCACTAATGCTAGGTCGTATTACATTATAAAATCACTAAACCTTTCGCAAGCCAAATCAGTGTCCGATATAAAAAAACAATATCGTTGTAGTATTTAAAATAGAATTTACTAAAAATAAAATGCAACAGCACATTCGCGTACGCGCAGTCAACAAATTCTATACCTACTAACAAATCCGAGAGGCCCGATAGCCGAGTGCGGATGCAACTGCGTCAACTACCCCGTCTCACCCCGCCCTGCCCCGCACGACTCGTCCCCCTCATACCTCACCGCCACTTGACTAACAAGCAGGTGAGAACGCGATAACATTCAACGAAAAGTAATGTGCGGAAATTTCATAAAACTTGTTCCAGGAAATACGTGTTTTTCAATAAGCCTTACAAGTTTGTGAAATAAATATTTGTCATTTAGAAACTCCATTACATTTGCGAGGTTTCTATCAAAATATTTTGATTGGTTTTACTATTTATGAGTACATTATGAACGGCCAAAGTTCAGGTAAATTTTGAGCAAAAAAGCAGATTTTTGGAGGCTTATACTGAATTTGTTTCTCCAAATTTAGATTTTTTGTTTTAATAGAAATCTAGATATAGTGCACAAAATACCTATTAGTTCAAATATTTCAAAGAAAGATCTATTACAACAATCACGTACGAGCGTTTGTATGAAAAGTATGACGGGTTAGCCGCTCTTAAGTTTCGGTTGGACTAATTTGTCCAACCGTCTCTTTTTGGTAAAGGGTATTATAATAGTTTCATCAGCATTAACTGATAAACTAACTGATTATTTATAGTGTTTAGGGCTCTTTGTATGATTGTCGATAAAGTACTTCGGCAAAAGCCCCTCGTAATGATCACAAGGTCATCAGCATAACCCAGTGTGTCAATGCGTAGGTCTGCCATTTTGTACAATAGTTGGTCAACCGCAAGAGTCCAAAGAAGGGGTGACAAAACACTTTCTTGTGGGCAGCTTCTTGTAGTTGCAACCTCAATTGAAGTTTGAAACAGCGCTATTTTTGCCTTTCTGTTTGAAAGCATCGACTTTACCCATCTGATGGTTGTGGGGTCAACATTTTTAGATATCAGGCCCCCAATCAGCAGTGATGTGGGGCTACTTTCGAAGGCACCCTCAATATCTAGAAAGGCACAAAGAGCTATTTCTTTATCCTCCAGTGTTTTTTCGACCCTGTCAATGAAACTGATCAGGGTTGTTTCCGTAGATTTGCCTCGTAGCTAGAGCTACATCTCTTATATATCTATCTATAATCTTTTCCAATGTCTTAAGAAGAAAGGAAGATAGGCGTATAGGTTTAAAGGACTTTGGTAAAGCGTAGTCCTTTCTAACAGTCTTAGGCATAAATAGAACCTTGACAATCGGCCATCATTCTGGAATATATCCCCATGCAAAACTTGCTCTGAAGATTTTCACCAGATGGGGAAGAAGGATGTCAATACCCCTCTGTAGTTGGATGGGAATTATTCCATCCTCCCCGCTTGTTTTAAATGGTTTAAAGGAGTCACCAGCCAACTGCACCTGGTTTGACCTTGTTATCTTTGCAGCCCTACAGTTGTCCTTATTACAAGGCCTTCGCAGGGCTCTGAAAGAATTCAAGGCTGAAACCTTGTGTGACCCTGGGAAATGGGTTGACGCTAGTAACTCCAATGTTTCTGTTTCACTATTAGTGAAGTCACCATCCGGGTTTTAAAAAGCCCGATCTGATTAGGTTCAGCTTTCGATAGCATTTTATGTAGTCTTGCACTGCGAGGCAAAGACTCAACTTCCTCGCATAGCTTCCTCCACGATGCTCTCCTGGCTTTCCTAATTTCTTTATTATATTCAGTTAGGGCTGCACTATAAATATCCCACTCTTTGGTTTTCTTAGCCCTATTAAATAGTTTCCTGGCCTTTTCCCTAAGTTCTTTTAGTTTAGTATTCCACCAAGGAACTTTTCGTGTTGAGGTCTTGGTTTTGACGGGACAACTTTCCTCGAAGGCTTCACGGATACCTACGGTTACTGTCACAATTACAATTGAAGGTCTGGAGTTAGTGTCCGTCACTAACTCCAGACCTTCAATTGTTTTGATACTTTTAGGTAACGTTTCCAAATTCCTCCTTAGGATATCTCTGTAGATATCCCAGAAGGTCACTTTTGGATCCCTAAAGTAACAGTTTCATAGATAGGTGATGCTCCAATCACAAACTTGATGTGCTTGTGATCAGACGTCGAGTTTTCTCTACTAACATGCCAGTAATTTATCCGCCTGGACATGTTATTGGTAGCAAAGGTTATCTAACACTTCTTGCCTAGCGCGCGTTACAAACATTGGTGTACAACCTAAGTTTAGGCTTACCAGGCGGTTGTAGATGAGAAAATCATAAAGTAATTCACCCCTTACGTTGATGTTGGTGCTTCCCCAGGCTGTGTGGTGAGCATTAGCATCACAACCCACCACAAGTTTGGCGTTGAGTTTTCGGGCGAACTCCGTCAGTTGCTGTAACTCGATGGTAGATCTGCGTTTACTCCGGGAAGATAAGCTGAGCAAATGATAACTCTGGCCCCTGTGCATCGTTTGAGATTAATGAAGGCTGTAACCAGGTCATCATTGCAGTATTCAATATTTTTATTATAAATTATACAAGCTCTGGGTCTACTGCCTTTAGTATTGACAAGAGTCTTACCGGCAGTCACCAATCCCAGAACTTGACCGTTGGCCACCCTAGGCTTTTGTACAAGGGTGAGGTTAATGTTGTCCTCTGCAAAGCAAACCTCCACCACGGCAGAAGCAGCAACTGCACGGTGAAGATTTGCTTGGAGGACCTTTGTCTTACCCTTGGGTTTAGCCATTTATGGGCGTGGGGGGGGGAAGAGATCTTTTCCACCTGTTGAGGACGAGGACGTCCTTTACCTGCGCAATTGACCCCCGCCTTACCTGTCGCCAAACCGCTCCCACCTCTCCTCCCCCCACACATGGACGATACCAGCGGAGGCCGTCAGACCGAGGCGAAATTTGGGTCTTCGTTACTCTCACTGATGGCGTTCCAGTCTCACCCGAGAGGTGGTGGGTTGGGGGGATTGGAGTTGGGCTGGTTCGGACTGTATTGCCGTGTTATTGCCTCCCCTGACCTTAAAAGTTATCACTTTAAAGCCAAGGATGACTATGCCATCTGCCTTCCGAAGAACCTCTGCCGATGGGTCGTCCAAAGAAAAGGTTACTAAGAACCCATCCTCCACATCCCTACGATGGAGGATTCTCCAGAGCTCAATATGGAGCCCTTCATTTTGTGCCCTCAACAGCACAGCTGCCTCCTCTGGAGAGTCGGCTTCACTGCGGAGCGAGTAAGTAATGCCCAGCTGAGGCTTAGGCAGTTCGCCCTCAGGTATTACCGAGAGCACTGCCTCCAGCCAGGGCTTCAGTTTTCCGATTTCACCCAAAATCCATTCCTGGCTTTTTTGCGTTCAGGCACTCCAGAATCCAACCTGGCTTGTGGGTGAAACCCGAAAATTTTGGACCCATTCCCGGTTGCGCCCCACAGGCCGTCTTAGCGGTGGCATGTGTTAGTGCCCAGTGGACCAGCCGCATCTGCTCTACACTGATAGGATTCGAATTGCGAATTCCAACATGCGCGGAGCCAGCTACGGCACTAAAGCTGAGCTTCTTCTCCCCCGTTGCAAGCTTCACGGACTTCCTGGGCTGGTCTTTGGAAGACTCTTCCTCAGACCGACTGCGTTTTTTCGCCTCTGGAACTGGGGGAGGCTTAGGCAGAGGTATTTCGTCCCAGGGTTTCTGGCAGAGAGAGAGGGTCTCTTCGGCTCCTATCTTAACTGCTATCAGCCTTCAGTACCTTTTCCTTGCTGCCCCACTAAGCTTATAAGGCCTAACGAACTCCCTGGTTCATTTTTGATTGTGGTTCGGCTCCAGATGTGCCCTCCACTTCACGGCTCGTCCCAGGTTGGGGTGCAATATTGCAAGGTATTGGTGAGGCTGAAAGAGCCGCTTCCAAACCTACAGCTTTTTCCATTAAAGGAGATTTTTTAGTATTTTTTTAAAAATGTCGGTTTTTGTCCATTTTGTTCCCACGATTAGCTAGGGAAATACTCGGTCACCACCGACAGAGCCTCGCATGCCGAGGGAAGGACTAAAATACTATCCGAATCACCCTGGTCTCGGGTAGGCACAGTTTGCGACTGGACTCTCTCCAGCCACGCATCCATCGGCACGGTACGCTTGACACCTTGGATTGGGTTAGGATAGGAAAAGGGGTTGCGATAAAAGAAAAGAAAAAGAGGATGGTCCGAGTGTTTCTATTCTGTCTGGTTCCTATTGAACCAGACCAAATAACAGCCGGCAACCACGTAAAGGAGAACTCCTCGGACTTGTCCTGGGGCTCAACACGACCTGCACTCTCCGCCAGAGCCATACGCCAAACTGCTTACCGGACAGGAGAGCAGAGTAATATATATATATATAATATCAAAAAGTTAGGAGTAGACTAACCCCCGCCCATTATTTTGAGTTGGTAATCATTTTTGAGTTTGAATAACACAAAAAAAAAAAAAACGGATAATTTTAAACACAAGACTAATCAGTGTCTTCGTATTTTGTTGTTACTGCTTATTTCTAGAAGCAAA